TTGTGATCGTTCGGGGAAGAATAATAGGTAAATTGGTATCTATTGTAACGACCTGTTTAGTAGTTTTGAACAACAGATTTTATTTCTGGAAAAACAGGCCGAGGCGAAAGACCCCACGACGGACCGTCATGGGCACGACGGAACGTCGCAGGGTCTCGTTTCAAAACACTTAGAAAATCTGAAAATTGGGTACTGAAATCGACTCTCTGAACTTCGTAATGGAATGGCAGGACGGACCGTCACAGGTGTGACGAACCGTCACAGACTCTTAAGAGAAATTGAGTCTCTGAAGTCTGTGACGGAGCAGCAGGACGGGCCGTCGCAGGCGCGACGGGCCGTCGCAGGCTGTGTAATCCAAGTTTGGGTCGGATTTTTTTATACGTTTTAAGGGACGTTTTTGACTATTCCTACCTTAATTATAAAGTTAGTGGGTTAATGTTAATAAGTCTAATTACTTGGGGATTAAAAGAGGTAACCTTAAGTTAATTAGTGGGTTATTATTACCATCTTTTATTCTTAATTATATACTAATTAGGGTAAAAGAAAGAGGGTTTGAATAAAGAAAATAGAAAGAACAAAGAGAAGAAAAGAGAAACGATAGAGAGAGGATCGAACGAGAGGAAAAACACAAAGCTTGGGAAATTGCTTGCTTAATCACGAATCTTCGGTGGAGGTAGGTTACGGTGTCTCTTACGAGATTCGTAGTAAACTCTTAATAGCGAATGATATGTATTGATAATATTGTAAACCCTGCTATGTGCCTAATTGTATGCTTGCATGAATGTAATATATAATTGTGATTATATAAGCATGATGAAGTTATTGAATACCAAATCTTGCAAAACCCTAATCTCTTTGTTAACGATGAGGCCTTGGTATAAAAGAAGGCGTGATGAACTAAAATAATGAGATTGACGATGCCTTGGTAAGAAAGAAGGCTTGATGAATTGATAGAAGGAGATTAGGGGATCGGGTATCACAAACCGACACGTAGATTTAGGGGATCGGGTGTTACGAACCGACACGTAGATTTAGGGGATCGGAGTGTCACGTTCCGACACATAGTAGTAGGGGATCAGAGTGTCACGTACCGATACAAGAGGATTAATGAATATGAGGGAGCGGAGTGTCACGTACCGACACAAGAGAAATAAAGATGATGAATCTTGAAAGAGGTTAATATACTCAATCTAATGAACATAATTTCCAAATGAGTATGGTATAGAGGCTTGAGTCCTCATGTGTGAATTTGACGGTAATTGTTAATGATATGGTACTTGTTGTTTCTACATGTTGAGTATCATAGTTGATTTTAAGATATTACTTGGTATATATTGATTTCTATTTTGAGTTGGCCGATGATATCTACTCAGTACCCGTGTTTTGTACTGACCCTTACTTTTATGTTTTCTTCTTGTTTATTTGTGGAGTGCAGCAAACGTGCCGTCATCTTCGACTCAACAGTAACTCTAGCCAGTCTTCATTACTCCAGATATCAGGGTGAGCTAATGCTTCTATCTTGGACTTGATCTTCCTCTTCATGTCTTGATGCCTTGAAGTTCCGGCATGGACTAGCTTTTATGTATTTTTAGCTTCTTAGGAACTCTTAGATTTAGTAGTTTGAAGTAGATGTTCTTGTGATGATGACTTCCAGATTTTGGGGAAAATAATAGTTATTGAATTTGTTTTTAGTAATGAGTTTAAGTCTTCCGCATTACTTTATGTTGATATTACATTGAAATGTTAAGGTTTAGATTGGTTGGTTCGCTTACATAGGAGGGTAAGTGTGGGTGTCAGTCGCGGCCCGGTTTTGGGTCGTGACAATCTCCTTGGAGTTGTTCAGCCTTTTATATTAACAATGCAGTAGAAAAAGAGAGAGGAGCTCCCAGGTTAGTTATTAATTATAAGCCCTTAAACAAAGCTTTGAAATGGATCAGATATCCGATCCCCAATAAAAGGGATCTTTTGAAACGAATTTTTAAAGCTAATGTTTTATAGTAAATTTGATATGAAATCAGGCTTTTGGCAAATTTAAATTTCTGAAAAGGATAAATATAAAACTACTTTCAATGTCCCCTTTGGACAATTTGAATGGAATGTTATGCCTTTCGGGCTCAAGAATGCCCCTTCCGAATTTTAAAATATCATGAACTCTATTTTTAATCATATGAGTCAATTCTCAATTGTTTACATTGATGACGTTTTAATATTCTTTGAGGACATTGATTCTCATTTTAAACATTTGAATATATTCTTTAAACTAGTTAAGAACAATGGCCTTGTCTTTAGTGCTAAAAAGATTTTATTATTTCAAACAAAAATTAGATTTTTGGGTCATGACTTGTTTCAAGGAACCTATAGACCTATTTGCAGAGCTATTGAATTTGCTAATAAATTTCCTGATGTTATTATTGATAAAACTCTGTTACAATGATTTTTAGGTAGTCTTAATTATGTTGCTGATTTCATTCCTAAAATCAGACAGATTTGCAAACCTTTGTATGACAGGCTAAAGACTTCTCCTACTCCTTGGACTAAGTCTCAAACTCAGGCTGTTATTCAAATTAAAAAACTTGTTAAAAATCTTCCTTGCTTGGGGATTCCTAACCCTAGTTATTTTATGATTGTTGAAACTGACGCATCTGACTTTGGTTATGGAGGCATTCTTAAACAAAGAAGAGCCCCTAAAGAACCTGAACAACAGGTTAGGTTTACTTCTGGAATCTAGAATTCCGCGCAAATTATTTATAGCACCGTCAAGAAAGAAGTTCTTGCTATTGTTCTTTGCATAACTAAGTTCCAAGATGACTTGATTAACAATGAATTTTTACTTAGGGTAGATTGTAAATCTGCTAAAGAAATCCTTGAAAAGGATGTTAAAAATCTTGTCTCTAAAAAGATATTTGCAAGGTAGCAAGCTTTATTATCTAGTTTTGATTTTGAGATCGAATATCTTAAGGAAGAAGATAACTCCGTCCCGGATTTTCTAACCCGAGAATTTTTGCAGGGTAAGAATGAGACGAGGAAAGCAGCAGATTAGACCAAACAGTAGTACTGGGCTAAACCCTGGAGCAAGCCCATTTGCAATCACGCCAGACCTTAGTCAAAATAAATATTCAGCATTGGCCCATTTCCCTCTAATTATTCCATCAGCACTACCGCAAAGTAGTTCTTAAAATATGTTGATTCTGAAGAAACCATTCTCCAAGGATCCTGAGCCCAGCTCTCAGTCACCTTCAGGAAAACTTAGACTTTCCCAAAAACAAACCAGTGACAGCTATGCGATGAAGCAACCCGATAACTTCGCAGAAACAGTCTCCTTAGCATCCAAAATGGCAGCAGAAAAGATTCTTTCCAAAGAGAAAGAAAAATTTGAAGTATATCCTTTAAATACATTTCCTATCCTTTCTCTTGATAAGGGATTCGAAAATTACGAAATTAAACATCTGCTTAAACCTGTCTACACTAACAGGAATTATGTAGATAGTGGTAACTCTCTCAAAACCAGAAAAAATTATGAATTCATCCTGGTGGACACAGGATCAGTTGAAATAGACCATGAATTGGCAGATCAGTCAGACCCTGACAGCATAGCCTATTCAAAGTTTACTATTAAAAATATTTTATCACCATATAACTGGATAACTGATCACCTTCAAACTCCTGTGAATCTTTCTAAAAGATTTAACCTTCAGTCTTTTAATTGGTTCGACTATAAAAATGCCTGGTTGAACTTTTTATTTGTTAGGCCAACGACCCATACATGGTTCGTCAAATATTGCCCAGAAGTAACAACTTCTGTAATTCCCCGATGGTTCTGCGAGTGGTGGAGCTACTTCAGAGGTAACAAACTGGTTATGCCTAGACAGTTTGAAGAGAGATACTCCCAATTCCAAATTTATGAGGGCATCTTGACCCTTCCAGAAAACATAAAGCTCTGTAAGTTTTTCATTTAAAAACATTTATCCTATATCATTAGTTGGACGTTTGTTATTGCAGAGTTTGACAGAATTAAATATCTCTCCAAAGAGATATGAATCAAGGGTTGGTCTCCGGCTAGAAAGGAATTTCCATCGACTTCTACAAAGAAAACACAAGACGAAGCTTCACCTTCCAAGAGTGAATTAAAAAAACGTCATGAAAAGGCATTATCTGAATTAGATGATGAAAAAGGTAATCCAGATGAAGCTGCTATCATGCAACTTCTAGATAAAGCTTCATCACAAAGTGATGACAATGGCGATATGATGTATCCAAGAGCTCTAGCACAGTCTTATGTTAATCCGTTTGATTAATCCTAATTGAGCTTATTAAAAAGTGGAATAATTAGCCTTCAGACAGAGATCAAAGATCGTAATTGTCTAAGAAGGGGTAAAAGAGTCTCAAAGAGACAGAATTTTTACTGATTAATCATATGGACCCTAGAGGGACCCACCACTATAAAAGAAGATGCTTTCTCTACCGAAAGTTGTTTGGACTATCCGGAAAAAAGCAAGGTCCCCACTAATCTTATCGCCAGGCAAAGAAATCTGGATTCACCAATTGAAAGACGAAAAATAAATTCTTTCTTATCTCTTCTTTCTGATCTCGTCAATCTTTTATCCTATATAAAGGCCATCTGTAATATTTCAAGGGGTATCCGAAAATTTTCCATCAAGAAAATTGAAAGAAAACCTCTGTCTTGTACAATACTAGTTTGAATGTTGGAATAAAATCAGCTTTTAATTTTGTAAGTCTCCTAGATTTTGTTAAATACTTTACTTCTTATTACCGTATTTCATTCCGCAAATTTATTGGTTCGTTGTCCTAACAAATAAAAAGTTCAACATGGCATTTTTATAGTCGAACCAATAAAAAGACTGAGGGTTAAATCTTTTAGAAAGATTCACAGGCGTTTGAAGGTGATTAGTTATCCAGTTATATGGTGATAAAATCTTTTTAATAGTAAACTTTGAATAGGCTATGCTGTCAGGGTTTGACTGATCTGCCAATTCATGTTCTATTTCAACTGATCCTGTGTCAACCAAGATGAATTCATAATATTTTTTGGTTTTGAGAGAGTTACCACTATCTACATAATTCCTGTTAGTTTAGACAGGTTTAAGCAGATATTTAATTTCGTAATTTTCAAATTCCTTATCAAGAGCAAGGATAGGAAATGTATTTAAAGGATATACTTCAAATTTTTCTTTCTCTTTGGAAAGAATCTTTTCTGCAGCCATTTTGGATGCTTAGGAGACTACTTCTGCGAAGTTTTCGGGTTGTTTCATTGCATAGCTGCCACTGGTTTGTTTTTGGGAAAATCTAAGTTTTCCTGAAGGTGACTGAGAGCTGGGCTCAGGATCCTTGGAGAATGGTTTCTTCAGAATCAACATATTTGAAGAACTAATTTGCGGTTGTGCTGATGGAATAATTGGAGGGAAATGAGCCAATGCTGAATATTTATTTTGACTCAGGTCTGGCCTGATTGCAAATGGGCTTGCTCCAGGGTTTAGCCCAGTAGGCCTGTTTGGTCTAATCTGTTGCTTTCCTCGGCTCATTTTTACCCTGCAAAAATTCTCGGGTTAGAAAATCTGTGAGGTAGTTATCTTCTCCCTTAAGATATTCGATCTGAAAATCAAAACTAGATAATAAAGCTTGCCACCTAGCAAATATCTGTTTAGAGGCAAGATTTTTAACATCCTTTTCAAGGATCTCTTTAGATGATTTACAATCTACCCTAAATAAAAATTCTTTGTTAATCAAGTCATCTTTGAAATTAGTGATGCAAAGTACAATAGCAAAAACTTTCTTGACGGTGCTATAATTACTTTGCGCGGAATTCCAGATTCCAAAAGTAAACCTAACCAGTTGTTCAGGTTCTTTAGGGGCTCTTCTTTGTTTAAGAATGCCTCCATAACCAAAGTCAGATACGTCATTTTCAACAATCATAAAATAACTAGGGTTAGGAATCCCCAAGCAAGGAAGATTTTTAACAAGTTCTTCAATTTGAATAACAGCCTGAGTTTGAGACTTAGTCCAAGGAGTAGGAGAAGTCTTTAGCCTGTCATACAAAGGTTTGCAAATCTGTCTGATTTTATGAATGAAATCAGCAACATAATTAAGACTACCTAAAAATCATTGTAACTGAGTTTTATCAATAATAACATCAGGAAATTTATCAGCAAATTCAATAGCTCTTCAAATAGGTCTATAGGTTCCTTGAAACAAGTCATGACCCAAAAATCTAATGTTTGTTTCAAATAATAAAATCTTTTTAGCACTAACGACAAGGCCATTGTGCTTAACTATTTTAAAGAATATATTCAAATGTTTAAAATGAGAATCAATGTCCTCAAAGAATATTAAAACGTCATCAATGTAAATAATTGAGAATTGACTGATATGATTAAAAATAGAGTTCATGATATTTAGAAATTCGGAAGAGGCTTTCTTGAACCCGAAAGGCATAACATTCCATTCAAATTGTTCAAAGGGGACATTGAAAGCAGTTTTATATTTATCCTTTTCAGAAATTTGAATTTGCCAAAAGCCTGATTTCATATCAAATTTACTATAAACATTAGCTTTAAAAGTTCGTTTCAAAAGATCCCTTTCATTGGGGATCGGATATCTGATCCATTTCAAAGCGTTGTTTAAGGGATTATAATAAATAACTAACCTGCGAGCTCCTCTCTCTTTTTCTGCTGCATTGTTAACGTAAAAGGCTGAACAGCTCCAAGGAGATTTAGAAGGTCAAATAATTTTCTTAGCCAAAAGACAGTCAATTTCTTTTTTACAAATTTCCATGAATTCATGATTCATTTGAATAGGCCTAGCTTTAGTAGAATTGAATTTTTCATTGAATCCGTCAATGTAAGCAAGATCAACATTATGGGATTTTCTATCCCAAATGGAGTTAGGAAAATCAGAACACATTTCTTTTTCGAAAATCTTTTTTATGTTGGAAATATTAGTGACCATTTCCGGAGTTTTTAAAATTTGTTCAATTTTTTGATATTTAATATCATATTTAAGAAAGCTGATTTGCTGAGATAAATTGTTCAATTTAAAAGAATCTTCTAGTGAATGAAATTCCGTTCATCTTCGGAAAGAGTTTTGATAAAAGGGAAAGAAATATCTTTTCCTAAAATAGTAGTTTTGATAGCATCAAAGTGTGAGATAAAAGGGTTAATCTGAGTAATGAAAGGAATTCCCAAAATAATTTCTTCGTTATTATTTTTTGTAATAACAAAATCATTTGTCAAGCAAATACCATTATTACCAATTTGAGCATTATGCAATTTATAATCAATAATAATGCGTTCACCTGTGGCACTATATAACCTGGTGGTACCTTTCTGAAGGTACTTAGTGAGAACTAAACCTTCTACTATACAGTTACGATCTGCTCCACTGTCTAATAAGGCTATCTTGTTGAGAACCAAGTTATCATTCACTACAAGCCTTATCATAATGTGAGAGCTATGGGGTCTTACTTTGGTGATCATGGTGAATCCTGCTGTATCATCATCGCTATCTTGCTGATTAGTTGTTTCTCCCGGATAATTCTTCGGAGCTTTGCCTTTGTAGGAGGTCTCGAGGACCTTGTTAGCCAAAACATTAATTTTTAGAAAATGAAGTCTAGATTTAATGTCTCTAATTTCGTTTTTGAGAGTTTTGACTTCTCTTCTGAGTTCGTTGATAGAAGGTTCTTCCTTCTTAGAATCAAATCTGCTCATAATCTGTTTTATACTGAAAGGTTCTATGTGAGGCTTTTCATCTTGCTGATGTCTAGTGACCAGCTTTTGCAATTCAAGGAGATAATTTCTTCTTGCATCTTCGTCTTGAATATGTTCGATGGTATCGAACAAAGTTTCTGCAGATTTTTCTAAGAGAACGTTTATTTCCTTAGCGCCACAGACACAAAAAGGTCCGTGACAGTCACAAGTTGTTTCATCTTCTGAATTTTGAGCTACATTAAGGAATTCTTCATCACTTTCTTCAGAAGATTCCTGAGAGTTGTTTGACTCAGAATTAGATTCTGATTCTTCTTCTTCAAGGATGGAGAAGAGCTTGTTTTTTATTTCTCCATCAACTTTGAGAAGACTAATCTTTTTCTTCTTTTTCTTATTTCTTGGGCATAGGTTTGATCTATGTCCTTTCTTTCCACATGTCCAGCATGTGTCTTCTGAAGAAGAATCTTTTGAAGTTTTTCCTTTAGACTTTCTTTTAGGCTTGTGATCCTTGGTCTTTGTAGACCCTTTTCTTTTATAGACCTTTTGGTTTCTTTGACGAGTATTTTTATCAGCTTTGTTTGCTGAAGGGGGTTTTAAGGCAGGAAATCCAATATCTTGACAAAATCTTCCTTATTCCGCAGATGTCATTCTTTTATCTTTCTTAAGTTTTTCATTTAACTTAAGATCTGTACATAATTCCATGGAAATTATGGTTACGACGCTGATTAAATCACCATAAGACAAAAGGTTGTAAGGAATTTTTCCTTCACATCTGTCCTTGATCTTAGATCTCACCTTTTCAGCAAAGTGTGAGGGTAGTCCACTGATAAAATGTTCTTTCTAATATTCATTGTTACAATCATGTCTGATCACAACTTTAGGTATAAACATGTCTTTATACCACTTCCAATCTGTAAGCTTCTTACAGTATAGATTATTAAGAATCTCAAGACTTCTATCTTGGAAAAGTCTAGGTTCTCCAACGAAATGCTTAGCGATGCTATATACAAAGGTGGCAAATGCATCTTCAACAGGGACTTCAGTTTAGGTGGAGGCTCCATTTTCTTCTTTAACGAAGGTTTTTACAACCGTAGCATTGAGGATAGTGCCTTTATCCTGTTCTGTCAAATAACTGTTCCACTAGTTCTTTAATGTTCCAGTGAAACCTGATATGACCCTATAGGTAGCTTGTTTGTCAGAAGCACCTCTAAATTTATAAGCTGTTACAGAAATTCCTATTTCCTGCAACTTGTTATAAATTTGACCTTCTGCCATACCATCAATGTTCCACTCAGATATGCCGGTTCCGTCGACATGCGAGTACGGGTGAAGATGACTTTCTTCAAACTGGGTATCAGGAAAGGAAGGTCTAGGATAAAAGTTTCTCCTATTGGGAAATCTATTATCAGACTGGATAGCGCTGAGCTTATTTCCTTTGATGACATTAAGCTTAGAGAGTTGTTCACTGATTTTCTCAATAAGGCTTGAATTATCAGCTTCTTTGCTTAAGTCGGGAAAATTATCTTTGGAAAACTCAAAGACCTTGAAGATGGGGACGGTTTCCATTTTTCAAAAATATTTGGAGGAGCTAGGTTTTTCACCTATTTGACTAGAATCTTTCTTTTTGGTAGATTCTTCTATTTTTCTTGATACGACATGGAGAATTTGGTTGGTATAATTGTTCTGCTCCAAAATTCGGTTAATTTCCTCTATATTAATCAGGGAAGTACTTTTCTCAATGTTTTTGTTTAAAGGAGAGGCGATAATAACGTCATTTCGGTAAGGGATTTTTAGCCCTTCTAGAGGAGGGGCAACACTTTCAACCACTTCATTCCTAGTATGCCATTTGTTGACAAGGACTTGAAGGGATGATTTGGTGTCATTAATTTGTTCTGAAAGCTCAAACCATTTGAAGAATTCTACTTCAGTTTTGAATCTCTTCATATCTTTATACCAATTGTCTCTAAAGGACTTTCTTTTGGACAAAGGGCAGGTAGCTTTATACCATTCCACCTTCTGCTTGTGCTCAGGGAGTTTTCACCATTGATTGAGAAGCTCTTTATTAGGGATAAAATTTCCTTCTGTAATGACTCCAAGGGAACTTCTCTTAGGTTCATCAGGTTTCATGTCACTGGGAGTAGGACTACCAGCATTTTCATAGTAAACCGTAGGGATATTTTGGGAGAAGTCAACCCCGCGAAGTTTCCCTTTATCAACTGAAATGGGTTCGTCAATGGAAATAGAATCCTCGTGTTCTTCCTCTCCCCGGAAAAAGCAAGAAGGTCTGGCCGAAGACATTCTTCTACTTGAAGTAGCCTGGCTAAAAGTGTTGGATCTTAGCAACTCAAGGTTAACAGATCCATCTGGAAACTGAATTACTCGGTCATGTTTAGAATTTTTAGCTTAAACTGGAAAAGGGTTTGTTATTGATTGGAAATTCCATTCTTCATCAGTAAGAATGTCATTCCATTTTAATGACCTAGGAACGAAAGTAGTACTACGTTCTTGGTTTGCTTCCATGAGCATAGTTAAACCCCTAGCACTAACCTTAATAGCCTTTGGGGCGATTTTGGTTTTCATTAGCTTGTAATATACCCTGTATATTACAGCTATTTCTCAGTATTCTAACTTACTATTCATGTTTTTGGTTTTGACGTTGAGCATCAAAGTATCAGTGATGTTGGGGTCATTGATATCAACTGAATAGTTGGGATAACAGTTAAAGTAAATCGGGCCATCAGCTAGGTTGCTTTCTAAGACTCGTAACAGGGAGTCATCAAAGTTTAGAAGTCTACCATCACGCAAGAGTAAACAGATAGGAATATTTAATCCTTTTCGGAACAAAGGCTTAACAGAAATCTTAACAAGACAAATATGAAGAAAAGTAAATTCCTTTTTAAAACATCTAAGTCGGCAGAAATTAACAACTTAATAGTTTCAAGGCTATTGTTAATAGCAATAGTTTGTTCACAAGTTTTTATATTAAAATGTTTGAACATAGAGAAGGTACCTAACTGATAAATCTTTTCTACGGACTCTCGAGGGATGTCCAAATTTTGCAAATCATTTTCTATTTTAGAGATAGAAACATTAACAGAATTAACCAAATTAGAAGAATTCATTTAAAAGATACTGTCCTACAGAAGCTATTTTACAATGAATAAATCTAAATTAAGAATATATGAGAATACTAGAATTTTGGTTATAATAAATCTGTTATCATGACATAATTAAACTCAACTATATTGGATTTTACTTGAAATCTTTGAAAACTGTTGGTAATAGAAACGCCTTGGATCAAGCTAGCCTCTCTGGTCTTACAGCGATATCCCTTTCTTGCTACTCTATTTAAAGTCAACATTACTTGACAACCTCATTTCAACAGTCATTCAAAACCTCAAGTTCGAATTTAATATGTATGATAAAGAGATAATATAAACATAATAATAGTATTCAGATACATAACCTAATCTAGAAGCATTCAGAGTAGTTTAACCTCCGGTACAGTAGGGAAATTAGCTACGCATGCTTACAAGCAGCATGGCTTTGATACCATAAAATTTGCGGAATTAAATACGATCACAAGAAGTAAATTATTTAACAAGATCTAAGAGACTTACAAATGGCCTTTATATAGGCTAAAAGATTCATGAGATAAGAAAGAATCTATTTTTCTTCTTTCAATTGGTGAATCCAGATTTCTTTGTTTGGCGATAAGGTTAGTGGGTACCTTGCTTTTCTTCTTTTCCGGATAGTCCAAACAACTTTCGGTAGAGAAAGCATCTTCTTTTATAGTGGTGGGTCCCTCTAGGGTCCATATGATTAATCAGTGAAAATTCTGTCTCTTTGAGACTCTTTTACCCCTTCTTAGACAATTCTGATCTTTTATCTCTGCCTGAAGGCTAATTATTCCACTTTTTAATAATCTTAATTAGGATTAATCAAACGGGTTAAGATAAGACTGTGCTAGAGCTCTTGGATACATCATATCGCCATTGTCATCACTTTGTGATGAAGCTTCATCTTGAAGTTGCATGATAGATTCTTCATCTGGATTACCCTTTTCATCATCTAATTCAGATAATGCCTTTTCAAGATGTTTTTTCAATTCACTCTTGGAAGGTGAAGCTTCGTCTTGTGTTTTCTTTGTAGAAGTCGATGGAGATTCCTTTCTAGCCGGACACCAACCCTTGATTCGTATCTCTTTGGAGAGATATTTAATTCTGTCAAACTTTGCAATAACAAACGTCCAACTAATGATATAGGATAAACATCTTTTAATGAAAAACTTACAGAGCTTTATGTTTTCTGGAAGGGTCGAGATGCCCTCATCAGTTTGGAATTGGGAGTATCTCTCTTCAAACTGTCTAGGCATAACCAGTTTGTTACCTCCGAAGTAGCTCCACCACTCGTAGAACCATTGGGGAATTACACAAGTTGCTACTTCTGGGCAATATTTGACGAACCATGTATGGGTCGTTGGCCTAAAAAATGAAAAGTTCAACCAGGCATTTTTATAGTCGAACCAATTAAAAGACTGAGAGTTAAATCTTTTAGAAAAATTCATAGGAGTTTGAAGGTGATCAGTTATCCAGTTATATGGTGATAAATTTTCGGAATTAAATACGATAACAAGAAGTAAAGTATTTAACAAGATCTAGGAGACTTACAAAATTAAAAGTTGATTTTATTCCAACATTCAAACTAGTATTGTACAAGAGAGAGGTTTTCTTTTTAATTTTCTAGATGGAAAATTTTCGGATTCCTTATCAATAGCAAGGATAGGAAATGTATTTAAAGGATATACTTCAAATTTTTCTTTCTCTTTGGAAAGAATCTTTTCTGCAGTTATTTTGGATGCTGAGGAGACTGCTTCTGCGAAGTTTTCGGGTTGCTTCATCGCATAGCTGTCACTGGTTTGTTTTTGGGAAAATCTAAATTTTCCTGAAGGTGACTGAGAGCAGGGCTTAGGATCCTTGGAGAATGGTTTCTTCAGAATCAACATATTTGAAGAACTACTTTGCGGTAGTGCTGATAAAATAATTGGAGGGAAATGGGCCAATGCTGAATATTTATTTGACTCAGGTCTGGCCTGATAGCAAATGGTCCTGCTCCAGGGTTTAGCCCAGTAGGCTTGTTTGGTCTAATCTGCTGCTTTCCTCGGCTCATTCTTACCCTGCAAAAATTCTCGGGTTAGAAAATCTGGGAGGGAGTTATCTTCTCCCTTAAGATATTCGATCTGAAAATCAAAACTAGATAATAAAGCTTGCCACCTAGCAAATATCTGTTTAGAGACAAGATTTTTAACATCCTTTTCAAGGATTTCTTTAGCAGATTTACAATCTACCTTATGTAAAAATTCTTTGTTAATCAAGTCATCTTGGAACTTAGTTATGCAAAGAACAATAGCAAGAACTTCTTTCTTTACGGTGCTATAATAACTTTGCGCGGAATTCCAAATTCTAGAAGTAAACCTAACCAGTTGTTCAGGTTCTTTAGGGGCTCTTCTTTGTTTAAGAATGCCTCCATAACCAAAGTCAGATGTGTCAGTTTCAACTACCATAAAATAACTAGGGTTAGAAATCCCCAAGCAAGGAAGATTTTTAAAAAGTTCTTTAATTTGAATAACAGCCTGAGTTTGAGACTTAGTCCAAGGACTAGGAGAAGTCTTTAGCCTGTCATACAAAGGTTTGCAAATCTGTCTGATTTTTGGAATGAAATCAGCAACATAATTAAGACTACCTAAAAATCGTTGTAACTGAGTTTTATCAATAATAACATCAGGAAATTTATCAGCAAATTCAATAGCTCTGCAAATAGGTCTATAGGTTCCTTGAAACAAGTCATGACCCAAAAATCTAATTTTTGTTTCAAATAATAAAATCTTTTTAGCACTAACGACAAAGCCATTGTGCTTATCTATTTTAAAGAATATATTCAAATGTTTAAAATGAGAATCAATGTCCTCAGAGAATATTAAAACGCTATCAATTTAAACAATTGAGAATTGACAGATATTATTAAAAATAGAGTTCATGATATTTTGAAATTTGAAAGGAGCATTCTTGAGCCCGAAAGGCTTAACATTCCATTAAAATTGTCCAAAGGGGACATTGAAAGCAGTTTTATATTTATCCTTTTTAGAAATTTGAATTTGCCAAAAGCCTGATTTCATATCAAATTTACTATAAACATTAGCTTTTAAAGTTCGTTTCAAAAGATCCCTTTTATTGGGGATCGGATATCTGATCCATTTCAAAGCTTTGTTTAAGGGCTTATAATTAATAACTAACCTGGGAGCTCCTCTCTCTTTTTCTGCTGCATTGTTAACGTAAAAGGCTGAACAGCTCCAAGGAGATTTAGAAGGTCAAATAATTTTGTTAGCCAAAAGAGTGTGAATTTCTTTTTTACAAATTTCCATTAATTCATGATTCATTTGAATAGGCCTAGCTTTAGTAGAAATGGCTTTTTCATTTAATCCATCAATGTAAGGAAGATCAACAGTATGGAATTTTCTATCCCAAAAGGAGTTAGGAAAATCAGAACAAATTTCTTTTTCGAAAATCTTTTTTAGGTTGTAAATCTTAGTGACCATTTTCAATGTTTTTAAAATTTCTTCAATTTTTTGATATTTAATATCATCTTTAAGAAAGCTGATTTGCTGATATAAATTGTTCAATTTAAAAGCAGTTTTCTTGTGAATGAAATTTCGTTCATCTTCGGAAAGAGTTTTGATAAAAGGGAAAGAAATATCTTTACCTAAAATAGTAGTTTTGATAGCATCAAAGTTTGAGATAAAAGGTTTAATCTGACTAATGAAAGGAATTCCCAAAATAATTTCTTCGTTATTATTTTTTGTAATAACAAAATCATTTGTCAAAGAAATACCATTATTACAAATATGAGCATTATGCAATTTATAATCAATAATAATGCGTTCACCTGTGGCACTATATTACCTGGTGGTACCTTTCTAAAGGTACTTAGTGGGAATTAAACCTTCTACTCTACAGTTACGATCTGCTCCACTATCTAAAAAGCTATCTTGTTGAGAACCAAGTTATCATTCACTACAAGCCTTATCATAATGTGAGAGCTTTGGGGTCTGACTTTGGTGATCATGGTGACTCCTGCTGTATCATAATCGCTATCTTGTTGATCAGTTGTTTCTCCCGGATAATTCATGGGAGCTTTGCCTTTGGAGGAGGTCTCGATGACCTTGTTATCCAGATCATTAATTTCTAGAAAATGAAGTCAAGATTTAATGTCTCTAATTTCGTTTTTGAGAGTTTTGACTTCTCCTCTGAGTTCATTGATAGAAGGTTCTTCCTTCTTAGAATCAAATCTGCTCATAATCTGTTTCATACTGAAAGGTTCTATGTGAGGCTTTTCATCTTGCTGATGTCTAGTGACCAGCTTTTGCAATTCAAGGAGATACTTTCTTCTTGCATCTTCATCTTGAATATGTAAATTGGTATCGAACAAAGTTTCTGCAGATTATTCTGAGAGAACGTTTATTTCCTTAGCGCCACAGAGACAAAAAGGTCCGTGACAGTCACAAGTTGTTTCATCTTCTGAATTTTGAGCTACATTAAAGAATTCTTGATCACTTTCTTCGGAAGATTCCTGAGAGTTTTTTCACTCAAAATCAGATTCTGATTCTTCTTCTTCAAGGATGGAGAAGAGCTTGTTTTTGATTTCTTCATCAACTTTGAGAACACTAATCTTTTTCTTCTTTTTCTTATTTCTTGGGCATAGGTTTGATCTATGTCCTTTCTTTCCACATGTCCAGCATGTGTCTTCTGAAGAAGAATCTTTTGAAGTTTTTCCTTTAGACTTTCTTTTATGCTTGTGATCCTTGGTCTTTGTAGACTCATTTCTTTTATAGACCTTTTGGTTTCTTTGACGAGTATTTTTATCAGCTTTGTTTGCTGAAGGGGGTTTTAAGGATGGAAATCCAAAGTCTTGACAAAAGCTTCCTAATTCCGCAGATGTCATTCTTTTATCTCTGTTAAGTTGTTCCTTTAACTTAAGATCTGTACATAACTCCATGGCAACTATGGTTAAGACGGTGATTAAATCACCATAAGACAAAAGGTTGTAAGGAATTTTTCCTTCACATCTGTCTTTGATCTTAGATCTCACCTTTTCAGCAAAGTGTGAGGGTAGTCCACTGATAAAATGTTCTTTCCAATAATCATTGTTACAATCTTGTCTAATCATAACTTTTGTTATAAACATGTCTTTATACCACTTCCAATCTGTAAGCTTCTTACAGTATAGATTGTTAAGAATCTCAAGACTTCTATCTTGGAAAAGTCTAGGTTCTTTAATGAAATGCTTAGCGATGCTATATACCAAGGTGGGAAATGAATCTTCAACACGGACTTCAGTTGAGGTGGAGGCTCCATTTTCTTCTTTAACGATGGTTTTTACAACCATAGCGTTGAGGATGGTGCCTTTATCCTGTTCTGTCAAATAATTGTCCCACCAGTTCTTTAGTGTTCCAGTGAAACCTGCTATGACCCTATGGGTAGCTTGTTTGTCAGAAGCACCTCTTAATTTATAAGATGTTACAGAAATTTCTATTTCCTGCAACTTGCTATAAATTTGACCTTCTGCCATACCATCAATGTTACACTCAGATATGCCGGTTTCGTCGACATGCGAGTAAGGGTGAAGATGACTTTCTTCAAACTGGGTATCAAGAAAGGAAGGTCTAGGATAAAAGTTTCTCCTATTGGGAATCTATTATCAGACTGGATAGCGCTGAGCTTATTTCCTTTGGTGACATTAAGCTTAGAGAGTAGTTTCTGATTTTCTCAATAAGGCTTGAATTATTAGCTTCTTTGCTTAAGTCGGGAAAATTATCTTTGGAAAACTCAGGGACCTTGAAGATGGGGACGGTTTCCATTTTTCTAAAAGATTTGGAGGAGCTAGGTTTTTCACCTATTTGACTAGAATCTTTCTATTTGGTAGATTCTTCTATTTGTCTTGATACGACATGGAGAATTTGGTTGGTATAATTGTTCTGCTCCGAAATTCGGTTAATGTCCTCTGTATTAATCAGGGAAGTACTTTTCTCAATGTTTTTCTTGAAAGGAGAGGCGATAATAATGTCCTTTCGGTAAGGGATTTTTAGCCCTTCTATTGGAGGGGTAACACTTTCAACTACTTCATTCCTAGTATGCCATTTGTTGACAAGGACTTGAAGGGATGATTTGGTATCATCAATTTGTCATGAGAGCTCAAACCATTTGAAGAATTCTACTTTAGTTTCGAATCTCTTCATATCTTTATATCAGTTGTCTCTAAAGGAATTTCTTTTGGACAAAGGGTAGGTAGCTTTATACCATTCAACCTTCTGCTTGTGCTCAGGGAGTTTCCACCATTGATTGAGAAGCTCTTTATTAGGGATAAAATTTCCTTCTGTAATGACTCCAAGGGAACTTATCTTAGGTTCATCAGGTTTCATGTCACTGGGAGTAGGACTACCAGCATTTTCGTAGGAAGCCTTAGGGATATTTTGGGAGAAGTCAACCCCGTGAAGTTTCCTTTATCAACATAAATGGGTCCATCAATGGAAATAGAATCGTCGTGTTCTTCCTCTACCCAGAAAAAGGAAGAAGGTCTGGCCGAAGACATTCTTCTACTTGAAGTAGCCCGGCTAAAAGAGTTGGATCTTAGAAACTTAAGGTTAACAGATCCATCTGGAAACTGAATTACTCGGTCAAGTTGAGACTTTTCAGCTTGGACGGGTAAAGGGTTTGTTATTGATTGGAAATTCCATTCTTCATCAGTAAGAATGTCATTCCATTTTAATAACCTGGGAACGAAAGTAGTGCTATGTTCTTGGTTTGCTTCCATGAGCATAGTAAAACCCCTAGCACTAACCTTAATAGCCTTTGGGCTATTGTGGTTTTCATTAGCTTGTAATATACCCTGTATATTACAGCTATTTCTCTGGTGTCTAACTTACTATTCATGTTTTTGGTTTTGACGTTGAGCGTCAAAGTATCAATGATGTTGGGGTCATTGATATCAATTGAATAGTTGGGATAACAGTTAAAGTAAACCAGGCCATCAGCTAGGTTGCTTTCTAAGACTCTTAACAGGGAGTCATCAAAGTTTAGCAGTCTACCATCACGCAAGAGTAAACATATAGGAATATTTAATCCTTTTCGGAACGAAGGCTTAAGAGCAATCTGAACAAGACCAATATGAAGAAAATTAAATTCCTTTTTAAAACGATCTAAGTTGGCAACAATTAACAACTTAATAGTTTCAAGGCTATTGTTAATAGTAATAGTTTGTTCACAAGTTTTTATATTAAAACGTTTGAACATAGAGAAGGTACCTAACTGATAAATCTTTTCTACGGACTCTCAAGGGATGTCCCAATTTTGCAAATCATTTTCTATTTTAGAGATAGAAACATTAACAGAATTAACCAAATTAGAAGAATTCATTGTAAAAGATACTGTCCTATAGAAGCTATTTTACAATGAATAAATCAAAATTAAGAATATATGAGAATAGAAGAATCATGGTTTTAATTAATCTGTTGTCATGACATAATAAAACTCAACTATATTGGATTTTACTTGAAATCATTGAAAGGTATTGGTAATAGAAACGCCTTGGATCAAGCTAGCCTCTCTGGTCTTAAAACGATATCCCTTTCTGGCTACTCTATTAAAAGTCAACATTACTTGACAACCTCATTTCAACAGTCATTCAAAACCTCAAGTTAGAATTTAATATGTATGATAAAGAGATAATATAAACATAATAACTGTATTCAAATGTATAACCTAATCTAGAAGCATTCAAAGTAGTTTAAGTAGGGAAATTAGCTACGCATGCTTACAAGCAACATGGCTTTGATACAAAAAATTTGCAGAATTAAATACGATAACAAGAAGTAAAGTATTTAACATGATCTAGGAGACTTACAACTGGCCTTTATATAGGCTAAAAGATTGATGAGATAAGAAAGAATGTATTTTTCTTCTTTCAATTGGTGAATCCAGATTTCTTTGTCTGGCGATAATATTAGTGGGGACCTTGCTTTTCTTCTTTTCCGGATAGTCCAAACAACTTTCGGTAGGGAAAGCATCTTCTTTTATAGTGGTGGGTCCCTCTAGGTTCCATATGATTAATCAGTGAATATTCTGTCTCTTTGAGACTCTTTTACCCCTTCTTAGACAATTCCAATCTTTGATCTCTGTCTGAAGGCTAATTATTCCACTTTTTAATAAGCTCAATTAGGATTAATCAAACGTATTAAGATAATACTGTGCAAGAGCTCTTGAATACATCATATCGCCATTGTCATCACTTTGTGATGAAGCTTCATCTAGAAGATGCATGATAGCAGCTTCATCTGGATTACCCTTTTCATCATCTAATTCAGATAATACCTTTTCAAGACGTTTTTTCAATTCACTCTTGGAAGGTGAAACTTCATCTTTGTGTTTTGTTTGTAGAAGTCGATGGAGATTCCTTTCTAGCAGGAGACCAGCCCATTATTCCTATCTCTTTGGAGAGATATTTAATTCTTTCAAACTCTGCAATAACAAACGTCCAACTAATGATATCGGATTAACGTTTTTTAATGAAAAACTTACAGAGCTTTATGTTTTCTGGAAGGGTCGAGATGCCCTCATCAATTTGGAATTGGGAGTATCTCTCTTCAAACTGTCTAGGCATAACCAGTTTGTTACCTCCGAAGTAGCTCCACCACTCGTACAACCATCGGGGAATTACAGAAGTTGCTACTTCTGGGCAATATTTGACGAACCATGTATGGGTCGTTGGCCTAACAAATAAAAAGTTCAACCAGGCATTTTTATAGTCGAACCAATTAAAAGACTGAGGGTTAAATATTTTAGAAAGATTCACAGGAGTTTGAAGGTGATCAGTTATCCAGCTAGTATCAAGTAAGTGACACAAGTCTACTACGCAAGACACACCAAGACTTCACATTATCACATACAACATATCATTCTTGATTCACATAGTAATAATCATTATCATCTTTAAGTCATCCTATTCACTATGATTACATCATCAATGTAACCATTATAGACACATATACCCAAGTAAAAATAATCATGCATCAACTCTAATACTACACACATAAGGATGTAGTACACTACTATTACATCATCAATGTAACTATCATAGACTCATATAGCCAAGTAGGAATAATCATGCATCAACTCTAAGACTACACACATAAGGACATAGTCATAGTCTAACATGATCACCTAACAGCAATAGAAGAACACATACTTTTACATTACGCACATGAAGACAGATATGAACATACTTCACATAAATCAACTACACAAATTATCATAGCACTTCAAGTGGGGCCGACAAGGCCATGATTTTCATTGTACAGCCGATAAGGCCATATCATTCACATAGCACCTCCATCATAAGTGAACCATACCGATCAAAGCATAATTCAATAGCTACATTACATAAAATAAAAAGAACTAGGGAATCCTACCACCGATCTACTCTTACCACTTCTATTCATAGCTAAATTGTCCAGTACAATAACAATAGGCCCTTACCCATGGCCATGATCCTCAATTAAATACAAAAAATATAATTCACAATGAATCTAGGTAAATTCAATGTATATTTATCAATCTAATACAGCCTATACATCAATATAATACAATTTTTACATCATTCAATAGCCCATAGAAAACTAGAATAAAATTCATAAGCATTAAGATAATATCAAGTCACCCACAGAGTAGCCAAATACTATGGTTCATGGTTTACATGGGTTCATAGGTTAATTCAATTAAATAATACAAGTTGCATCAATATAATCAATATATAATGATTTAAAACCTTTAACGCAAGAACCCATAGATAGATCATAAAATTGGATAACTTCATCTTTAGAAAACTTATAAATCTCTTTGAATTTTGGGATCATTGATGAATAGAGTTTCAAGGATCAAAAACCACACCTAGATGATTTTAATACAAGACATTTATGAAGAATCACCACTCAAATATCCAATCCAAGCTCTTCCTTCAGTTTTGGCTTCAATGGAGTTCTAGAAATTTTTTTAGACATTTTGGGGTTTTAATTTGGAAGAATCAATTCATGTAGGTATTTAGCACTTATAAAGCCACTTAAACTACCTAAAATACCCCTAAGTAACCGCACAAAATCTTATTTGGATGATGGGTGAATTTACCAATTCACCCTCCAACTTAACAGTGAACCTACGAAATTGCAGGCCCATCAAAGACTAGTCTATAGACGGGATTGTCCTGCTGGTTCATGGTTTGGGTGTGAGAGTGGTCCTTGTATGGACATATTCCCCACTTATAAGTCCTAACAAACGTCCATCAACGACGGGGTGTCAAACAACCTACACGTCGTTGATTGCCTGAGTCGATTGGGGCTGGTCTTGACATCCTTTGGCTCAAAGATAGGTTCTTCCTTAAGGACCCTTGTTTGTCCTAGGGGATTTTCACCTGGACGTTTCCAATCCAAAAATGATCATATGCGAGTTTACGACCTACCACATAAATTTCATCCAAAATGAACACGTAAAAGTCGATGAAACATGCCAAGACACACAAGACCCTTTCAAGGCAAACCTTTCGAACGTCATGGATGTTCTTGGACATTTGACCTCAAAACTTTATGAAACTTGACACACTGCCTATAAAAACTATAATAACTCATATAAGGACCTCATAATCTCATGAAACGCACATATAGGCATATAACCATACATGAGGCACATTAGTCAGTAGTCGTCGAAAGTCTTTGTCATCCCTTGATGTTTGACTTCTAATTCACCTATATATTTTATAAAAATTGTAATTACCACATTATAGACCATTTTATGACCTTAGACTCTCATGAAAAATATGTTAGGATCTAGATTTACCTAAGTCATTTTAGAGGTATTACAACCCATACTCATGCAAATTCTCAACTTTTGACTTATGATTTGGGTTTGATGAAGATGTTTAGAGAATTTTATAAATATGGTTTTCTTTGTGTTATATTGTGATTAGATACTGCTTAAAATGTACACTTCATGAGTAGAGATGTTGTATCCAAATGTACTTCTTGAGATGAGTGCTCCTCGCTAGTTGAGAATGAGTTGCTTAGAAGCAATCTCTTTATTCCTTAACTATGCACCCGCATAGGTATAGCTATTTGAGATCCATGTAAAGGCTAAAATATGACCCTACCTTAGGATAGTAAGGATCCCTCATCCGTTAGGGGTTAATGTCGGGATTCTATGTTATGCTCTCATGGTCTATGTCTGTTAAAGATAGACTCGACTCAAATGAATGTTATAAACCAAGTCTTCTGAAGGGTCGACTACTTAGAGTAGGTGGTGTGGGATGCTATCTATCCATTGCACAAGTAGAAATTTTGAGGGAGTCTTAGTGTGTATTTACATAAAAATGCATGAATAGGTCACTATATGTTGTCAATGATGTGTGTATACATTATGAAATGAAGCATGTTAACTATGTGCCAAAGATTAATGAAGTATGTCGATATTATGTCTTTTATGATTAATGTTAAGTAAATGATGAGTGTGATGTGCCTAGTCTAAGGGAATTGTTAAATAATACTATAGTGGGAGTAGTAGTATGGGATGCTACTTTCACATTGCACTAAGTGTAACTTGGGGGCTGCCTTGGAGGATGGTATTTATGTGAAGTTTCTAAATGCATATGTGTTCTTCTAATTGTCTTTGTTAATTAATGTTGACTTGTGGAGTCGGAATGACATATCTGATCTTTCGTAGTCTTAAGGATCACTTAGGTTTCTATTGAAGTGGTTTTATGGGTGGTATCTTCAAGTCTTACCTAGGAGAGTTTTTTGATAATGTTGTATATGAAGGTTCATGTGATGTTAAATTGACTATATGTGATATTTATGGAACTCTTACATTAAATGATACATGGCGACTTATATGATGCTTTCTAAAGTGGATTAGAAGGTTTATCAGAATAGCATGAAAATTCAGTTTCAACAAAAATATACTCTTTTAGCATGAATTTGCATAATGTCATACTTAGTACAATGTTTTTACTAATTCCATACTCTTCTATATTTCTATAATTATAGGTGGAACGCAAGTGAAGGTTATTAGAAGGCAAATCTTGGGAAGTTCATCTCTCAATATTAGTATGTCCTCATATGTTTGAGGACATAGTCTATGTTTCTTTAAGAATTTTCCTTTATGTTTAAGACTTAGTATTTATCATCAAATGTAAAGGGTTGTGACCCTAAGTTGTTAAGATGTGTCTTTAAGTTGACTTGTGATGATGAGACATATTCGTTAATTTGTAAAGAGTTTCTTGTTATGATGTTCTGAAAATTTTCTAATTCAGCACGACTTCTCATAATTATTTAATGAATGATAGCTTTGAGGCTTGTGCAAGACCTCCGTGAGGTCAAGTACGACATGTGGAGACTCAAGAGTGCTCTAACTTTTAGGATGTACTTGCGGGTCACTACAAACTTGGTGGTCACTACAAACTTGGTGTCAATGTATAAGGTTTTGGGAAATAGTTTAGGGCCTAAAGTCTCACAAGCCACGTCTAGTAGAGTGTTGATAATCAGTCTAAGTCGTGACACATCCATTAGCGATAGGCTATAAGACGATAGAAGTTTCCTTTCTTAATTACTCTTGCAAACGTGCCTTAGATTGTATGTCTATGAGTTCCTAATCCTATACTTGTGATATTAGAAACATGAATACTAGAAGGACAACCTCAAGCAGGGTAAAAGAAGGATAAGTGAATGAAGGAGTTCCTCCACGAGGTTAACAAGCTCCTATAGCTAGTCAAGAGAATGTGAATGAGGCGGTTCCACCTCAAGTACCTCAAGTGCCCCGATCTCCTCAAGCTCCTAATGTTGAAGGATATATGTCTAATTTGGATATAACGGATGCTTTTTAAGTTTTGACCCAACTCATGACTACTCAAGTTCAAGTTGTCACTAACCAAGTAATGGTCCAACTTAACAAAGGAGTTGGACCTCAAGGGAACCCTAATTATCTCCTAATTTTAATGGCACTAAGGTTGATGAAGATCTACAAGGCTTTATGGATAAGGTGTTTTAAGTTGTAGATGTTATGGGGGTTACTTCTAGAGAGAAAGTAGAACTAGCCGCTTACCAACATAAGGATGTGGCTCAAGTGTGGCTTGAGCAATTAAGGGATGGAGACTCGTAAGGGCAGGCTTGGTAGATTGGAGAGTGTTTAAGATGGATTTTCTTGATAGGTTTTCACCCCAAGAGATGAGGGAGAAAAAGTTTGTAGAACTCATGAAACTTCATCTACGGAAAATGAGTATGAAGGAGTATTCTCAAAATTTCACCCAACACTCTAAGTATGCCCCAACCATGGTAGACAACTCTAGGGCTACAATGAATAAGTTCGTGATTGGGGTATCTAGTTTGGTTGAAGAAATGTGTCGTATTGTGATGCTCCATAATGATATGGATCTCTAGACTCATGGTATATTCTAAACGAATTGAGGAGTCAAAGCTTAGAAAGATACATAGATATGTGAAGAGCGATAGGTCGAATGAACCAAGTCAACCTAAGTCAAACAAAATGTTTTAAAATCAAGAGTCAGGTCATTCAAGAAGTTTGAGAACCAAAATGTTCAAGCACGTCTATGACGTCCATTAAAGTTGGTTCACAAGGGTGCTAGTGTGTTTTAGTTGTTTGACTAGTTTTAAAGAGTCCAAATTATACGAAATTTGGTAAAAATATATGTGACACGTGTTAGGGATGTTTCACGGAACAAACGTCCGGGTGCGACTCCCCAAAGACCAACCAAGGGCTCTTGAGGAGGACCCTTGAGAGTGTTGGAAAACACTACCTGTGCAGTGGTGGTTGACGAGGCAACCAATGGCCCATGTGTGGATTGACAAACTGTTGATGCCTCCGTCATGCCACACTTATCCATGGTGGGGAATCCTCCGCCTGCACCAGTCTCTGAACTCATCGACCAAGTGCAGGATGGAGGGGTGAGGGTCCGTCGAGTCACAGACGGCCCATCGATCGGGGTTCCATCTGTGAGGGGTCGAATTCTGATACATTTTAAGTTGTAAGTATTTTAATTAATTAAGTGATTAGCAGTTAGTTACAGGTTAAGGGGTTACTAGTTAACTAACCAAAAACTTATATAAAATCCCTAACCCCCAATTAAACTAATTAGAGGATAAAAATCAACTCTCTTCCTTCTCTCTTCTTTCGATATTTAATATGAAGACTCCGTAAAAGCTAATTTGGGAGAATTGGTGGCTGGAAAAGGGTGGATTCATATTCAAATTCTCATGAAATTATTAAAGTATGGGGTCTATTAATCTTTGAGACTCTTCCCTCAAAGGGTTCCTTCAAAATAGTTTTCAAAAGATGAGTTTTCTTATGGGTCTTATTCAATTACGAAACTGAAGTTGTGAGTTGAGTTCGTAATGGATTATTTAGGTTATATTGAGTAGATTGACATGTATTTTAACTTAATTGCTATACTTGCTAATGGTTAGACACAATTTGAAGAATATGATCCTCAATCCATAATCCTAGGTCGTAATCTTGACCTATATTGTATTGTGATAATCAAATTGAGTTAGTTATCGATTAGATCACTTTACTAGGATTGTTATTTTAAGTAAATTGAGAGGAATTGTAGGCCTATTATGCAAATTCATGAGATGTGATTTAGGGCATGAAGAATATTGTAAGGATTGGTTTATGTATCTTGTCTTAGGCTATGATCTAGTGTTTAATTATGTTACAGAGATTATATTGGCTTAGTAATATTATTGGTTAGCGTTGTGTGATTATGTTACTCACCTAGTTGGGTTGAGTTATGGTTTGATGGTAAGACTACGAGGAAGAATTATGAGAATGACTTGGTAACTCTTAGAATCTCTATCTTTACTTTCAATTATGATTAATTGTGGTTAAGTCATGATATTATGCTGAAGTATGACTTCTATTAGGATTGACAGGGTGGTATTGATGTTGAATTGAAATGTCTTGATTATGGTTGTGAGGTTGTTAAGATGTAAAGGCTATAAGGGTGGCAATGTATACCAATGTGACTTATTATGAAAAGGTTATGTAATGTGTTAACCTCACCTTTATGGATTGTGATGAAAACATTTACACTCATACAATTCTTATTGAGCTATTGATGATTATTAAAAAAGGGGTAGACCCTATGACCTAAACTAAGTTGTGATTGATAATTAAAGGCTTAATGACATTTCAAAAAGGAACTCTAGCCTAGCACTGAGTAAACTAGATTGAGGAGTGTCCTTTCCCACATAGGGAAGCTAGGATCACTAAATTAATCTTGAGATTAGAGACTACAATCCATGAAAAGGGTCCCAATTATATCTCCTAGTTCTTGAACTAAGTTACCCTCATAGGAATTCTAGCTAATGGATCTACGTAGTTGCTACTTTTCATGTTTTGGTACTACCTTGTCAAGTAATCCACCTTTTTTCGGTGTAGGGTTTCATGAAACTGGATTCCACATTTAGCTCATGTGGTCTATGTCAGTTGAGGAAAGTGTTCCCTAAAGTAAAATGAAATAATGATGTGTAAACTAACTAAAGTGAGTTGATGGATTTTCCTTAGCTTAGGTAGGGGTATGGGACTCTACCTATGCTTTGCACTAGTTTGCCTTGAGAGCTTTAGGAAGTTAATATTATATATATGGATAATGATGAAGGTAATGATTCTAATAATTATGATGTTTATGAAAATGCAATTGGTCTTTGTTGTTAAAGTATGAACTTGTTAGTTAAAGACTATGTTAGGTGAAGTGTGATACTATTTATAGTTCTTGTTGGATTACATGATTGAGTAAGGTTATGAGGCTTTGCTTGGTCATTGAACTTGTTAACTTTATGAGGATTGTAATTTTTGTCTTTTATAATTATGTGATGAACTCTTATTCATGTTACTATTAATTGGTGATAGAGTTATATGTGATTATGAGATCAACTATGTTGATATGAATATGGTTTATTTCACTTTATTGAGTATGCTTAAATAGGGGGGTATAGTTTGTTAATAGTGAATAAACCTTTGGGAGATAAAATGGCATATTTTTCACTAAGAGTCCTTTTTAGCATGTTTTTGTGTGGTATGTGCATATGGTCTCATACTTAGTACATGTGGAGTACTAACCCCCTTTTCTTCCCTTTTTCCCCAGTACTTTAGGTTCCGATCGTTGAAGGGTTCAAAAGACGACATTATTGAAGACTTGTACATCTCAATTCATCCAAGTGGTAGGTCTTCACTTCCCGAGAACGATGCTGATATCTTGCAATATGAAGTCTCTTTGTTATGGGTTTAAGACTATTATATGTTCATTCCATTTCTATTGTGTACGACTTGTAGAAGCCTATATGTGGATTCTTTACATTTGATGTAGCGCTATGCCCATATTGTTATACTCGACTAAATGGTATGAGATGAGACAATTCTTGAAACTATCTTTTTATCTTATATATATGTATGTGCAATAAAATTAGAAGGCAATGTAACCTTCATATACGAAGGGTCTATGTATACTAGATATTACTATATATTATGTGTATGCAGAGGTCTATGTAAATCTCCAAGTAGGTGTTAGTAAAATGTTTTTAATTTTTTCCATAATCATCAACCTATGAATGTAATGACATGAGACTAAGAGGCTAGTTTTAGTCCTTAAAAAGGGCAACGACGCTGGTTACGTCTAGGGGGTAAACCCGAATATGACAGTTTCCAACCAAAACTCTCAAGGAGGGAGTGGAGGTGGCTATGAATATGAGAGGCCTAAGTGTACTACTTGTGGGAAGTAGCAGTGTCTTGCCTTTACAGATGGTTCCTTTGGATGTGTAAATAGGGGTCATAAGATGAGAGATTGCACTAACCTCAAGGCAAAAGTAAAGAGATCAGCCAAGCTTATCATGATGTCCTTGATCCTAATGCTCCAAAAAACAATCATTTTTCTGCATTTGAAGCTAACAAAGGAACTAATTTTGAGTCAAGACCTTGGTAATTCATATGTTCCTTATGTTTTTTTTTTGCTTTAGATTGCCC